AATGCACTGAGTTGTCGCCATGTGATTGGCTGCTTAGAAATTAAGTGTTAACGAGCAGTTGGACAGGTGTACCTAATAAAGTGGCCGGTGAGTGTGTATATATATATATATATATATAAATGTTTTTACATGTTTTTTTTCTGTTTTGTTGCTGTCTCCACCTCCAGTGGGTGTTGATAAAAAAAATATATATATTTTTCTATATATATATATATATATATATGAAAATGGTCATAATCACTATAAATCTATTTTAGATAGATTTTGCCATTTTAAGTTAGTATTATGTTTCATGATGTATAATCCAGTTGTCACACTTCACCTTCGTGTCAAGAAGAGAGATAGAAGAGAGTGATTGGGCCAAGGTGGTGTTTTATAAATAGAGAGTGAGCGTGGGTTGCGGGGCTGGGTCCTATGACGTTTCTACAGTGATATTGTGCCGCTCCCTTCTTTACTTCCTGTGGGAAACAATTTAGGGCTTGTCTTAACAGAGCTCTGCATGGTGAAGCCTGTTCTCTCTCTCTCTCTCTGATTCCCTCCTCCTCTTGTAGTTCTTCACTTTCACCGTCTGTAGCTCATCACTTCCTTTTACTAATTTGACTGATTCTTCATCTGACCCAAAGGTAGAGTTTCTCGCTTCACCACTCGCAGACATTACATTTGCAAAGTTTTGGTTACAATTCCAGATCTTAATCCACTAAGTCTGTGATTTGCAAAAGTTTTGATACCAAGGACCACAAAATACCATGATCCCCTAAAACAAAAGACGGCTATATTTTTTCAAAGACCCATTTATATTGTGTGATTTTTATAAAGACAAAATGTTGTTTTCTAAATGAAATAACTGGCCGTTTATATTGTCATTTTACAAAAATCAAAATGACTTTCTATTAGATTCTATTAACTGTCTTTTTCTATACACTAATAATGTAATAAGTCATTTCTATAATGCTCAAATAATAAGCTTAAATATTGTTACTAAGCAGCTTTTCAACGAATATTGCAGAGTATAAAAACCCCAGTGAGCAGCTGAAGATGATGAAAACTATATTATGATGATACAATAAAACACTTTTCACACACTATTTTCAGATTTGGTACATGTTTTTACTGTTAAAGCCTATTTCTGTCAATAGAATAAAGTAATCACCAGACTTTAGGAAGCAAAGAGAAAACATTATAATATTAAAAGGGTGTTTAATTTGGCTTTTAGAAAGCTAAATTAAATAACTATTGATTTACTTTCATAATATCTGTTCTTGTTTTTATGAATCATTAGTGCACGTCATACTAAAATAGGTTTAATAAGTATGAATCATTTATTCAGCCTTCAGTTTTTCTGAAATCTCTGTATAAAAAGCCTCTACATTATTTCCTGTATGTTTCATGTATATTGAATGGTTTATTCCATCTATGTATTGTTTATTGTTTGCTTATTATTTATTTTCAGATTTAGAAGTAGGCTTCACACCAAGAGTGATAAATATTAAGATAACAATAACTATATATTAGCGTCCGCACCACAATATCGTTCTGTTTATTCTAAGCGAACGCTGCATTTTTTCGTCCGCCGCTTTAAATGCTCGAGCTCTTTAAAGCAGGATGGATTCTGATTGGCTGAAAGTGATTCCAACTATGTAGTTTCTCTTACCGTTATCGTTATGATTTTTAGAACTATATCTGTATTGTCCTTGGTGTGAACAGGCCTTCAGTCATTAATGAACATCCTCCGTAACCAATTCAATTTGCAATGTTTGCCATTTGAGTTTAATCAGAAGCCACTTCACTCATCGCATCTTCTCCCACTTCTTGCCAGTAGCATCTTTCCTCCAGAAGACCTACAGATTCACCTTACAGAGTTTCTTCACCTAAATCCCCCAAATAATGCACATAAGAACATACATTTATAGCTCCTTGACCTTAAAACTGTCCTCCTCCTGCGAAGCTCGTAGCTTTTTCAGTAGTTATAAAGAACAAAACGGTGTGGGTCATGCGTTTGTACTGTTCCTCGGTGCTCCCAGGCGATGCAAAGTCGAAACGCAGTCAGGCCTCAAACCAAAGCGGCCGACTCTGTTGCTAAGTTACAGTTTAGAGTTTTCCTATTTTTAGTTTCCAGAGACCAGGCTTCTCACCCAGAGATTATATTTTTATTTGGAATAAAGAATACAAGAATCCAAGTGAGATCCTTTGTGATTTTTGTGTGGCTGTAGTTAAGTGATCCTGTTAAAATGGGCTAATGCTACATCCACAACCTCATCACATTATTAAACCATTGTCTGAACAAAAACACTGTGTTCTTAAAGACAAATGTTCTGTTTGCGGTGTTCAACACACCCTATTGATTTATTTTTTCTCCATGTACACTATGAAGCATGTAGTCTTCCGTTTAACGTAAGTTTAACACGTCAAGGAATGCATCAATGTTTTTGACAAATATTTTAGGATGATGTGAACTCATAGGATGAAGACTCAAATCAGTGGCCTAGAACAGGGGTTTTCAAACTCTTTGGAGTCACAGACCCCTTATAGGGTAGAACATTTTCCAAGGTCACCCTCATAATTATAATAGTGATTAAACCCAAAGTTTGTAACAATCGGCCTAATCGGTGAGTGACATGAGCTCAAATTGGGATCAGATTAAACTGTGTGAGTTTTTAGAAGTGTTTAAAAGATAAGACGGCAACAGAAATAAAGTGAATAAATGAAGTGTATTTACAGTTTCTACCAGGAACTTAAAACAACACAATACAACATAGAAACCTTAAGCCCCGTTCACACCGCCAGCGATTTTGTCGCTACATGTCGCTAGTCTCTGTAAATTACTGTGAAGTCGCTTGTGGGCGTTCGTAGTGCTGTCGCTCTAATGTTATTGGTTGACTGCACGTCTGGCCATATATCTATACAAACTGCCATCAGAAGTGACATATACAACTATATCATTTTAATTTGACTAGGAATTAGGCTCAAAAGAAACCGTATTCTGTTGGGAGAGTGTTTTTATATTACCACAGCAGTGTTCAGTGGATTAAATAATTTACTAGATTAACGATCGACCAATCAACAAATTAAACTCACTCATTCTGTCATAAATTACTAAAACGTCATTCGAATTTGACAAATAATCAATTTTCTTGTCCCTAATAGTCAACATAATGCAGGGAAACTGTAAAATGATCTGCAGCAGTGCTAAACTTGCATCATAATATTACAACACTCGAACTATAAATTTATATGAATTAAACTCACTGAGACTGTCAACAGTTTCTTTTCCATTCGTCATTTTATTATATCCATGTATGTGGTTACAGTCAAATCATATAAAACAGTGAAATCTCCCACAACCTCTTCTGTCTTGCCTGCACTCGAGACGGTGACATGAGCTCCACTGAAAGTCTTCTTTCCTATTGGTTGTCGCTCGCGAAAATCGCTTCTCATTTGCATAAAGTTGAAATTTCTCAACTTTTGTCGCTTGTCTCTTGTCGCTTGACACGCCCACATTCAATCGCCAAACGTCACTGTCGCTCGTGTCGCCGGATGTCGCCAGCGCTCCATTGAAATGAATGGGATCATGTCGCTTTGTCGCTGCGTGTCGCTGGCGGTGTGAACGGGGCTTTAGGCTGTTAAAAGCATAGAGTTCCATACCATAAAACAGTCCATAAGAGTCCTTGCGTGCTGTAAGTCCCAATGTGTAAGTGTCCACCGGTGTATATACAATCCAACTGTAGTGATGATAATCCAATGAAAAGTGATGAGGTTTGCTGGAATGGTAAGTCCTTAAAAGTAACTCCTCAATTCAGCTTTGGTCGTCTTGACAGAGACCGTACGGGACCTATGGACTATGCTTTTTACAACCTAAGTTTTCTAGTTTTGTGGTGTTGTTTTAAGTTCTTTGTGAAATTTGTAAATACACTTTATTTATTCCCGTTAGCACTGTTGTTGTCTCATCTTTTAAAACACTTAAGAAAATTCTCACACAGTTTAATCTGACCCCTAATTTACTTCGTAACTCTGCCAATTAGGCCGAACGTTACAAGTTAATGTGGGTGAGAGTAATGAACATAATATGCTTGATTTATTGGTGTAAAAACGGTCCCCATTGTAAATGTACTTTTTAATAATTGGCTACAGCTGTGCGAGGCGCTGGCGTGATCGCTCATATCAGATAAGAGTAAGGCATCATTCAAAATGGTAAAGGGTCTATTTATATTTGTGTACCTTCAAAATAACAGCAAAACGTCGTACTTTTGTAAAATAAAGAAAACTAAAAAAGTTTGCCAAAAATGAAGCCAAACTCAGCAGAGATTACTGCCTACTTGTCGCACAGACATGAACAATATAGAAACCTTGAAGTGTCTACTTTTAAATGTCTATGTTTTGCTGTAAAATTAGTTTGTGGACCCCCTGGCAATGGGTCACTGACCCCCACTTTAACAAACCCTGGCCTTGAAAATTATTATTTGTATTATATAAGGCTGGTCGCTCCCTCATAGTGGCTGCCATGTGGAGACCAACCAAGTTAATAAACGCAAACCATGCCTCAAACTATATGTTGTTGTTTTTTCGATACGTCAGCCTGTTGTAATAAAAATGCCATGGCTCCTCCAGTGGGGGAAGCAGAGAGGTTGTCGTAATGGTTGTTCAGAAAAACTAAATTTACACTTTTAAAATTATGAAGTGAAATGCGAAGTTGATGGTTGAACTATCTTTTGGGGACATTTCTCTAGAGGTTGACAGCTATAATTGTTCTCGTCATTGAAACAAGACATATGGAGTAATGCAAACATTGCAAATATCAGTGTAAATCTTTTCTAACTGAATTGAATGTGACAATCTACAAATGGTTTTATGTGCGATTTACACCAATTTATTCTGTTTGTAGCTTTTTGTTGACTTTTGTAATTCATCTTAATGATTTGTCTAGTATTGTTTGTCTGTTATGTGAAGATTTTCTCTTCTGTGTCTGTGTGTGTGTGTGTGTGTGTGTGTGTGTGTGTGCTCAGGTACAGCAGTGTGTTTCCCAGTCTGAACATGGCAGTAAAACGCAGGGAACAGGCTCTTCAAGATTATAAGAGACTCCAGTCTAAAGTGGAGAAGTATGAAGAAAAAGAGAAGACGGGGCCCATCATGGTCAAACTCCATCAGGTACAACCCAACTTCCTTTCTGACAGCGTTGCAATTTCAGGCGTTCGTTCTTCAATGAGTGACTGATCTCCTAATAATACCAAAAATCCTTTAATGTGAGTTCACTCAGCGGTCATCTTGGTAACGCCCCAGGTTGCTGTTTTCTATGTGTGCTCCTGTCCGTTTGAATGGGGAAAGATAAAACTCTCCAAAACTGATTGTCAAGATCAAATCAGGAGTCAAATCTGATCGCAATAGTACCATCATTTTGTTTCTTTAGCTCAAATCAGTAACACTTTATTTTATAATAAAGTGTTCGGTTGCACGTTATATGTATTCACTATAGTAATTTCAGTAAATTGTGCGTAATTACAACTAGGGCTGAGTTGAAAATCTAGATTTTAATCGATTCTTATTTTGATGAACTGATATCAATTCTTTAACCCCATTTTGTCACTCTTTAATGTGATGTGACAGATCGCTGTTCAAGCGCTTCACATGAACCAATAATCTCTTTTGCTTTACTACTAGTTACAGCATGAAATAAATACGAATGAACATCAGAAGGTATGTTGAAAGATACAGTACAACATACCGAAATGTATCCCGTCTCATGTAATCGCTCAGTTAGGGTTTCAACCGCAGAAAGACGTGCAAGAACAGCTTTTACATATCACATTTACTTCACGAAAGCCATTCGATGAACATACACTCGATAGTTAGCTAGAAAAATGAACTTTAGAGAGGAGCATTTTGCTAAATATTTAAATATATTACATTATCTTTTACCTCTTATTCAATATTTATATAAATTCGTCCTGAAAGCCACAATTTCAAACAACTAATTACAGTAGAAACCTAATTATGTCATTAAAAAGTTACTATAAAAACTGCTTTATGTGCAATTTAAATATTTGCATCCCAAAAAAAGTTCATTTTGACCTTTAATATAGTAATGATGAACCAACAGACAGGCCTCCCTAAATATTTTACAGCATTAGTTAAGAGATATTGTTTTCCTTGAGATAAATTGACATTCACTGTACCTGATAAATCCAAAATGAATCGATATTGAATCAAATTAAATCAGTGTCATTGACAAGCCCAATTACAAGCAACTAATACTAAACCAAACACTAACCTGAGAGCATGTACATGTTGTTCATTAAAATCAGTGCTTATTTGTTTAATTAATTATACTGTAACAAAGACACATTAAATCAAATTTGACCTGCAAATCATTTGTGTTTTTCAGATTTATCCAGCTAATGCTTATGCACGTTCAGGAGTAAATAAGCTTTATGTAAAAGATAGACATCACATGTCAACAGTCAGTCATTAGAGTATTATTAGACTGTCTGCTTAATATCTGCTAACACTTTGTTTTGATGCTCTGTTTGTTTTGTTCTACTGACTATAAGTAACTTTTCAACTACATATCAACTTCAGCTAACTCTCATTAAAGTGAATTATAGTTAGCAGAATGACCAATGTTGACCATTGAAATAAAGTGTAACTGATGATTGGATCTTTTAGCTCAAAACTGGGGCGTCCTTCTTTCCACTGTAATGAGTGTTTCATATATGACCATGCAGTTAATTTCACATTATATTCTACCTTAATAGGCCCGAGACACTTGCTTATTTTCACAAGGGTTATTCTGACGGCTTGTATATGGATAAATTGCACATCTTAAGGCTTGTTTGCTCCGAGTGTGAATTTACAGCACGAATGGTTATTGGGACAAGATTTTAAAATGAAACTCTGCTTGCTTATGACACACTTAAAATTCACAGTGTAATAAATGTATTATTTTTGGAGCGGTGGTCCCTGGGTACAAGAAGCTATAGATTTTAAAGCCATGTCCACCACAAAGATGTAGACATATGGCAAATAATTGTTGAGAAAATACCATTATTTTTAATACATAGTACACATTGAGCTAACACTGTATTTTTGTTGTAGTATACCATTATTATTGTCATTTTAAGGTTATATACTGTAATATATAGTTTGAGTAATCGATTGTATTTAGTATTTAAGTACATAAATGATCAGAGAGCACTTAATCTTTTTTTTTTTTTTTTAGAGCGAGACTGGTGATATTAGACCTTTAAACTCACTTTACTTCTGTGGCATGGCATATATTTCTGAGTGAAACAAGATATCGTTCCCAATAAGACCAGAAATGTTTTTTAAGAAAGTGAATGTGGTAACAATTTAGTTTATGGTCCAATTCGCACTATTAACTAGTTCTTTATTAGCATGCAAATTACTAGGATATTGGATGTTTATTAGTACATATAAAGCACATATTAATGCCTTATTCTGCATGATCATATTCTACATACCTTAATCACCCAATACCTAAACTTAACAACTACCTTACTAACTATTAATAAGCAGTAATTAGGAGTTTACTGAGGCAAAAGTCATAGCTAATCGTGAGAATTGGACCCTAAACTAAAACGTGACCGTGAATGGGGTGAATTTTGATTTCATGCCGATTCAGCAGGGACTCAAAAAGACACAAAGGTCATCAGAATTACAAAAATCATAATGAGTTTTGATCTGGTCTTTATAGATATTCCTGTAGTGTATGCTTGTGCTCGAGTGTGCCGGACCTTGAGAGTCATCGGATTTATTATAATCTGTTCACTCTCGTACGCTTCTGGCGGGATTTTTTTTTTTTTTTTTAGCACGCAGCAACAAGTGAAGGAAGCTGTGCTGGATGGTGCAGAAAGTATTCAGAGCACATGTATACATGCGAGCGAACTCACCCACGCAAGAGAAACAGCCTCTCAACTCAGCTGCACTTTTTCAAGAGGCTGCGCTCAACACACGCTGCGGGATAATTGGGTTTCGCACACACACACACACGCACATTCGCACACGGTAACACGATCCAGTGAACACAGGCAAGCAATAATTGTTTGTTCTTTTTGTTGCACACTTCTGGGTCATTGTGCATGTGCATGTTGACATGTGAAGGACTGTATGTGCACAAACAGATACAGATGGGTGCCTGGAAAACTTCAACATACATGTACATCCCATCGCCCACACACACACTGAAGGACTTCAGCAGGGCCGTAGAGGATAGACGCACTGATAAAGTGCATACATTTACACACGTCATGTATCATATATAGAAAGAAGGTCACGTCCTAGCAAAGATCAGCACTTATAGGCCGCTTTCCCCTCCCTTCCACTGTGCTGATTGGTGATCGCATCATGAATATCACTCCTACCCACCTCCACACCCTTGAACGTGTGTGTGTGTGTGTGTGTATTTATTGTTCTAATGACACATGCTTGAATAATTGGCAAGTCCTGGTTTTATTCATTGCTGCATTACGTGTGTGTGTGTTCTGCTTTTAGGCCAGGGAAGAACTGAAGCCTGTCAGGGAAGACTTTGAAGCCAAGAACAAGCAGCTATTGGACGAGATGCCCAAGTTCTACAACAGCCGCATCGACTACTTTCAGCCCAGCTTTGAGGCTCTGATACGAGCTCAGGTGAGCCTTGAATGTTCCCAGCTCAGTCACAAACAAAGAAGCAGCTCAAACTAAAATACATCCAATCAGTTATCACACCATAGAAAGCATGATTTTCTTTGTACATGCTCTAATATTCACAACTCTAAAACTCATTCCCCAGTCCTCCCAGACTTTATCCATCCATCCATCCATCCGCACTTCCCTCCGCTCTTCCTTCTGCTCTCATCGTTTCCCTTCTTAAAGGTTCTCTAAGCGATCCTGGGTGACGTCACTTCTTGTTGACGTTCGAACTATTGTCAAACAAAACGGAGGCTAGCTAGACCCTCCCTCCTCCTCATCCGCACACTAACCCCCCAAACCACACCCCCAAACCCTTCTTGTCGGTCATTGGCTGGAACAGTTTGTTATGTTTTGGGGAGCAGGTCGCTGCAGTTTGTTTTTGGTGCTGTTTGTGAAGCATGGGCTGTCTACAGAGATCGCGTTTCTTTACAGTGTGTTCAGGGGACAGGCAGCCAGTGGTTAGTGAGGAGATGTTTGCTGTATGTGACAAAAAATGTTTTGGCCTAAAAAACACATGACATCGCTTAGAGCACCTTTAAATGCAAAAATATATGGTCAATAAATGAATTTCCGAAGACTCGCAGGCACAGTTGCAAAATCAACCAGCAAGGATGGAAAATAATCACATAAAACTAAGTTATTATGTGTTTAGCCATTATAATTGGACTTAAAATTGAAAGTTAACATGCTACTAAAGCAGGTCAGCAGACTGGTAATTGATCAAATAATGCATGCAATGTAAGTGTGATAGTAGAAGATTAAGACTAAAGTAGGAGGAATACAATAACAGTCTCACTGCTTATTATGTGACAATATATATCATAAAATGACCTGTGCAAATTTAGCATTTTTACATATGTATTTTTTTTAGGAAATAATGCAAAATGCTGTATCATGGCTATAATAAAATAGTTAAGGCTAGTAAATGTTCTTAGTTTACCTGTCATTGGGTGAAACAAAGTTTGGTTTAACCCCTGTATGAATGTGTACAAATAAGACCCTTTGTCCTGCTAAGGCTATTTTTATAGCTAGCTTTTTCTATATTCTAAATGCGAATAATTACATATTTTGATGACCTTTTTCAGTCTGACAAAATTAAAAGTCTGAACCTGGGACAAAGGTTAAACCAAATTTATACATAAAAGACATGAAGAGTAGTAAAACATTTAATTATCAAGTCATGGTAAACAGTTTTATGATATTCATTTAATAAAAAGTTGAATACAACTGTTTTTTAAAACTAAATAAAACTGCTGCCTTTAATAAAAATCAAAAGCCAAAAATCTAAATCAATCAAAATCAAGTTAAAGAAACACCCTCACACACACACACACACACACACACATAGTAGTAAATTTTAAAGCTGACGCTCCCTCCACCCAGATCTAATGTGATTAACCCTGAGTTACACATATACACACACACACACACACACACACACACACACACACACACACACACACACACACACACACACAGCAGAAACACTCCTTTATGCTGCACTCACACTCTCTCACTCTACACACTTCCCCTTCTCTCTAATGTGATTAACCCCCACAATCCTGCCTCCTTATGGCCACAGCTCAGACTGTGTGTGTTATTTTAAGGGAAGTGTGTGAAAGAGCTAAACACTAGAATCTAATGATAGTAAAAGAGGTAAAGCCAAGTCAAACACACACACACACACACAGTCATGACTTCAGGATGTGCGCATTCACCCCCTCTCTGAATTTCAGGATCTTCATATCATTCCTAATTTGTTATTTTGTGTGTTTGTTTTTTGTTGAACAGTCCCTCTATTGCTGGCATAGTGGATGATGAATAATGAATGAACTATTATATTTAAAGCGCATGTACCAAAGATAAAATTATCTGTTTTTCCAGTTGTACACAATTAAATCATACTCCTATAATAATAATAATATATAAGGAAATCTTATGCAATGACATTCATACAAGTGTCCAAATGGTTTTTGGGACATCTGTGTGTGTGTATTAGAGGATATAAATAATGATATCAGTAGTAGCATTAAGAAACACAAACAAACGGAAAGTTTTCACCTAAAGGATCATCTCTGCTGTCATCTGCCTGCTGAGTTAAAAGAATCCTCAAGTGCGGTGGATATAACCTATTTTCACTCAGTGTTTTACAACAATAACTTAACTGAGACCTGCTGTTAACGCTGAATAGTCCAAGCAGGCCTTTTCTTGGTGGGTTAATCACATATTTAAAAGCCCTAATCTTCACGGCTCAGGGCTGAGCGGGCAGTGGAGATGTGTCAGGACCTGATCCAGTGCCCTATGATCCCCCAAAATGCCGTCTTGATAGTCTTGAGAAACAGCCTCTCCTAGCTGCCTACTCCAACATGCACTATTTAGGTCTGGTATATCAAACAGATAAATTGCACAGTAACATTTTCATCAAAATTATGCCCTCACGTCTCTGTACTGTAATGAGAAAAATATTATTATTATCATTATTTAAATTTGACTGTAATTAAAAGATTTGTGTTGCTATATTGCAGTAATGAGTACGAGATCACATTTGTAAAATGTTCTTGACTGGTTTTGTGAGATTTACCCATATATGGCCAGATTTACTAACAGCTTGCACCAGCACAAACCCTCTTTTGCCGTTAAAAAACTACTGTCAGGATTTACTGAAGACACGCAGTGAAAAATGAGGCATGGACACAGCAACTTTTGCATAAGCATTTGTCGGAGTTTCCCTTTCAGATGCAGAATTTATAGGCGGAGAGTATTTAAATTACTCACGCAACGGTTTGCGGACTTTGCACTGGTCAATTTACTGGTATTTTGCACCATTGTATTATTTTGGTTATACATTTCCTTAATATAGGAGATGATTCTTAATGTGTGTCTAGTAATAAGTTGTCTGATTGTGTGTTATCTGAACAACCTGAGTTCGATTAACTAAACAGGAAACAATCGATTCTGTCTCGATGATAATGTTGTACCTTTCGTCGTTTCTAAAAAAGTCATTGATCACCCAGTCAGTTATTTTTACTCTGATGACTGGCTTGACTGTACATTATCACTTGAGAGCGTTGTATTGACCAATCGGCATCCAGAAGTGCCACTATCCATTTGATAACAGGTTTAACATGTTTATGACTAGTCCTCTAGAAGCTGATTTTGTCTTCTGGTCTACTTGTATAGACTAGTAAACAACCATTGCATCAGCTTGTAAACAACATCAGACTTCCTTTAGCTAAAACCATTCCCAACTTTACGGAGACAGCAGTCTTTTGTGATTGTTTTTTGTGCAGCCACACTTTGTGGTGTTACGCTTTTGTCATTTGCTCTATTGAAACCAGACGTGGGTGCTTTGGAAAAAAATAAAGGTTATAAATAAATGAACACATGAATGTAGTATAATGTAGCCTGAAATGCAGTCTTTCCCTAAGCTGTTTGCTAACAGATGGGCAACAGAGAGGCCTAACAGATGACCGAGTCTCATTCATCAAGTGCTTTCTGTAACCCAGAGTGCCATACCTCCAACACCCACATACTCCGAGACACCGTCACCGACAGCAGCTCTCAGTGACGAGGAAGAGGAGGGTGTCTCTGTCAGACACAGGGTGTAGGTGGACTTCTGAGACTGCTGACTGCATTACTATAGGTGCAGTGAGAGACGCTGCTTCCCTTCATATCTGATGGACGTCAGATTAGACGGTGTGTGTTTGTGTTTCCAGGAGTCCTGGAGTGGACACAGTTTGACTCATCAAACATTCAGTCATGCTGAGAGTCCCTCATCCTGCTGAGTCATTCACACACACACACATATATCGGGGGAAGAGGATTCATTGAAATTTGTCCTGAAGAGAGATACATGCACGCACGTACATCCTAGATGGCCACGGGATGAGCCAAATTTACACACACTGGCAAATTTTCTAAAAGACTTCTGAGTCTTGACCACCTGTACAAGCGGGAACTCTTTAGATGCAGGAAAAAAAGGTTATTCACAAATCTTATCTTCCCCAGCTATTTAACAGTACATATACTGTGTCTTCATTAAGCAATAGCCAACCCAGCTCCGGGAGAGCCACCATCCTGTGGAGTTTAGCTCAACCCCAATCCAACACACCTGAAGAAGCTAATCAAGGTATTCGGGAACAGGTACGTGTGTGTCCGAGCAGAGTTGGAACTGAAGTCTGGAGGAAGGTGCCTCTCCAGGAGCTAGACACTGGAATGAGAGAAGATGCAAGGATCTCAAGAAAGCTTTTAAAAGTTGAACTTGACATCTTTAGAACATAATGCATGTAGCCAGCGAGATGCCGAAGAAGCTTGAGACCCAATCCATTGGCCAAAGATGGACGAATTTTCATTGCTGTAATAGAATGATAACTACCATACAGCTAAAGCATGTGATATTTGTGACCTGTAATTTCTGTGATACTAACTGCATGGGTAACAAAGGGGCACGGTGGGTAGTAGCAGTGTTTCCTCACAGCAAGAACGTTGCAGGTTCAAGTCCCGACTCAGTCCTAGTTGAGTCCCAGAAACTCTGGTTTCCCACAAAATCCAAATTGATGGAGGTCAGGTGAATTTTAGACACTAAATTGTGTGTGTCTACGTTATTTTCCGTGATCCACTCCATCTGTTGCACAATCAAGTGCTTCGGAGTATACTTTATTGACCGTGTGTGCAAATGTATCCATCCAGCACATGTGCGCTACCTAGTGGCAGGGTTTCCGCTGGGTCATAAAAAGTCATAAAACGTCTTAAATTTAATAATAAGAATTTTAGGCCATAAAAACGTCCGGTTTTTCCATACAAGGTCATAAATTACATTTAGCCACGTCTTAAATTGATATGCTCATTCATTCATTATCGCGATATAATGTTTTCTCTATAAAACGATATCAAGAGTTCGACAAATGTTAGATCATGTTTATGCGCCAAAAGCGGAACGAAACTCATTTGAACCGCGCACGCCTCACGGAGCGTTTATCCGCTCGGCTCAAAGTCCAAACGGCAGCGTAGCGCGATCAAGCTCACTAGAGCAGACGCGTTCTTTTACTGTCTATGGTTAACTTTGATCAGTCTCGATCACGAGATCCAGTGAGAAGCACTTGAATTCAGCGAAGAACACAAATGTCTCAGTGATTTAAACCAGTTTAAAGGCAGATGAAACAGCGCTGACGAACAGGAGAAACACTGTGCGCAACTATACAGTCAGAAAGCTTTTCCATCTACACATTTACATCCTTTACCATGGTTTTACTGTAACGTTAGCCTAGTAATATTAACTGCACCATGAAATGTGGGATACATATTGAATTGTATTATATTATTAATGTAGACAATGTATTAAAGGACTAATGGAATATAATTACAGTATTTATGTATTTAGGCTATAGCCTACTGTTTTTCATACATTTCATAAAGATACGTGCCATCAAAGTCAGGCAACACAAACCTGTTTCAAGACTTGAAACAATATCCCCCATTAGCACATGCAGAAACTAAGAAATTAATTTTGAAATAAGGATATTATTTTTGTTAAGGAAAAAATACAAATGTTTGAATGTTCTACCTCAGATTTGTGAAATGTTCACCTGTTTGGCAAGTGTTTGTCATGATATGTTTTGACAATAAAGAGTAGTTTAAAACCACAATTAACGCTCTGGTTTCTAAAAACTTTCAGTTAGGAACAAAAATCTGCCTTCAAAGTTCAAAGAAATAAAGAATTAACATTTATCGTCATAATTATCGATATTGACTGATATTATCGTGATAAGTGTTGTGTTGTTCCTGTGTTATTGATACTTAGGAAAAGGGAGCCTTCAGTTTGTTACTCTTAAGAAAATGGAACCTTTAAATAATTAAACTTATTACTTTTAATGAAAGTCAATAAAAAAATACTTTTGAAAGGAAGTTATTTTTCGTAATTCGAGTAGGTCATAAATTTAAATAATATTGGTCATAAAAAGGTCTTAAAAGGTCTTAAATTTGACTGACTAAACCCTGCAGAAACCCTGAGTGGACTTTTTGCCTTCAGCCATGCAATGGACTGGCCATCAATGACCCAAGGTATAGGCATCCCTCCAACCTAGGACAAGTGGTGTGGAGATGGATGGATAATTGTACAAAGGCAGTAATTATTCCAAATGGACTTCTATTCCAAAGCAGATTTCCTTCTCATCTTCTTATCACTCAATACTGTAGGTAACCTCGAGCTGATTGGTCCACGGTTAGTGAGTATTCTGAGATGGCATGATGCTAAATGTTTAGCCGGACTCACTTTGGGACATCGGTGGCTTACATTGTGTTACACTGTGTGTGTATATGTTTAATTAGTTAATTAGATGTGTGTTTAGAATATATTAATCTGTGTGACAGAAGTATAAATACTAATCCCCTTTGAAGCTTGTTCTGGTCAAGAATCACCCGCTTCAACAGGAAGGGCCCGTCTGGATGATATGTTCAACGACCAACCACACTTAGATATTTTTTTATGTGTTTTTTTTCAAGGGCGGTAAATCTTAAATCGACGAAACCACAATAATGGATTGGTGTGGTGTCTTGTTCAAATCATGGCACAGCTGTCTCCACAAATAGTTAAACATACAGCAGCAAAGGGATGATTGGAAATGTGTGTTGACTTTGCGGTCAGAATATCCTTCCATCTGCAAGTAATAAGTAACGATCGTTTAATGGATATATCTCTGAATCAAAGCAGCCGAGTTATTGGGGATGTCAGGTTTTCTTGCTACTAACTGCGTCTTACGAAGGCAAAAACTGCGCAAACTCAAATCCTTCGAAACGTAGTTCTCACAAACTGACTCCTAAAAGCTGCGTAACCACAGCCAATCAGATTGGAGCTTGTCGTTTTGGGAAAGCTGTTGTTTGCAGCATGTATCGTACAGCTCATGAACGGTCTGTGGGAGTGCTGTCTGAAGCCGAGACATAAATACGCTGCCGTACCTGCGCTTTAGCTTGTGTGTGGCGGCATCATTCATTGGCCATTTTGATTGATCTCTGACAGGTCCAAGGCGGATTTTCCTCTGAACTAGTTTTGCTTCCAGCCCCACGTGCTGCACGGCAAACAGATCCCCTCTCCGCTCTTCATGTGGTGAGACCACCATAAACAGGACAGACCAGTATCCGCTTCCATTCAGCACTGGGCAGGAACTGGCCTCTCATAGATCACAGAGCGCCACTGACGGCCAGTCTTTGATTAGAGTCTGAAGTCAGTTTACACAATCTATTCAAAAGAGATGTGCTTCATCACAGTGTTTGGTGCCGCATTTATACATCTGTCCTGCAAAAGCCCTCAAAAGTGTCTTTGCAATCCGTGGGTGTCTGAACTCAATGGCTCCTGTGTGAACAGTGGAGTTCAATCGAAATTCTGCCGCGTATCACTAGCTAACAAGACCGTGTCCCGCTTTTATGGCCTCACAGTGGTATTGCTGAATGACGTATCGCTATTATTGTTGCTCATCAGATTTAGGGTCAATAATTGGAACGAACTCTTAAAGGGAATTTTTTTTTCCAAAATGTGTATATTTGACTTTCTACTGTGAAACTCAAAAGAAGTTATTTTAAAAAAGACATCTTTGTGTATTTGTTTTCTTTTGTAATTTGTACAGAAAAAGAACAAAACAAAAATGACAAAACAATGAAAGTCAATTGGGTCCAATGTTATGCTCTTTTGGACCCCATTGACTTTCATTGTATGATCTAAAAAGATTTTTTTTTTTTGACATTTCCCCCCAAAAATCTAAGACTTTGAAGTGGGCCAGTAAGACACCCATCAAGCATTCAGATCACCCTGGCAACCACAGGTCTGAAGATCACACACTGTAGCAACACCCTAGCATCATGATGGCGAGTTTTGCGCTGGCAAACGCCACTCGCATTGTCTTGAGAATGTTTTCTCACTGGGTTTTTAGGCTATTGTAGACGTGGATTGGTTTTGCAAACGCTCATACAGTAAGCAGCTTGAATAAATGTGCTGTGTGTAGGTTTGAGAGCCGAGCAGCTGTATTTCCCAGCGCTTTCAATGGCGGCCCACTCCTCCTGGAGTCTTGTAATGTGATTAAAGGCTATTAATCATCAAAGCGTCTCTCGCGGGACCCCTGACTCACGGGCCGGGGGAAGAGCAGGGGCGGGACGTGTCAAGAAAGCTTTCAGCCGACACTCGCTCGCTCACACACCGATCACAGAAGATCAGGGTCACCTGCTACCCACAGACCCATGAGCGTAATCTCTAGGTGATTTTTGGTTGTCTTGTATGAGCGGGAGTGAAGAACATCCCTTGTTTGAAAAAGCCAAGTTCTTTATTTAGATTCGCACAAAGCTACAAACACAAATGAAGTGGCCTCAGATATGCAGTGATTTTGGATTGTAGTTTGGACAGGGCTTAGCATCACTACGTCGTAATTATCCGTGGAAAACGTGGGGGTTTTATTGAGTCTGATTTTCCGACCCAAAGGGGGTGTCAATCCTTAGGGGCGTGGCTTGGACTTTTAGGGGGCGTGGCATCATGAATCCGGTCAGATTCTAGGTGGCATTGATCACACATTTTGTGTACTGTTGTTGAAGAATCGTTACAAAGACTGGCAGATAAGACTATTAAATTGGCCGATTCATGAGATGACGGGCTTGTGTGACAAAACTACTTCCCTGTGACTGCATGAGAATAATAAAATACATAAAAATGACCATTTAAAACGCTTCTGCACATCATTAATTGTGTTGAAAAGAAACAGGTTCATAGAGAATCACTTTGTTCCAAATTAACATTTGTTACTGTGATTTCTGAACACTCACATCAGAAAATGCCAGGTGAAAAAAACCTGTTATACTGGGAATGTGTGTATTGTACTTGACCTCTCTTTCTCTTTGTTTTCTCCCAGGTGGTCTATTTTACGGAGATGCACAAGATCTTCACTGAATTGACGGATCAGATTGACCAGGGCGGGTTGACAGATGACCAGAGAAAACAAGAGAACGAGGCCAAACTCAATGAGTTGCGAGCGCTGTCCATCGTGGCCGATGACTGAGACTGAAAACTGTGTGATTTTAATGTCAACATTTATTTATTTCTTTTTCTGTTTGTTACTTTTCATTGATAATGAAGTCTTATTCTGAATATTTTGTTGACAGATGAAGCCATCAGCAAACTTCCTAAATGTTTTTTTTTTTTTGTCTTTAGTCTCTACAACTGACCAATGATTGATCATAGAAGTACTAACAGATCATTTGCATGTTTATCATTCAGATTTTCCATCCACCAGAGGCCAAATTAATATTTAAATTCTAATGGCTAAAGCTTAGTTTTCTATGCGAATTGTTTTTAGAGTTCACACACTACTTATGCATTTTTTAAAGCGTCTTTACAATATAGTGCAACACTGGAATCGTGCAGAGAATCAACATTTATATTAAACTGTTGATGACTGATATGTTACAGTGCGATTGTCATTTAACAGAAATCATGTAGGAACTTGATGCTTTTCACATGCATTTAAATGATCCTCTGCCTCCCTCTACTGACACATCTGAAACAGCTTTTCTGTTTGTGTCTGACCTGTGTTTGTGCGAATTGTATTTGCTAATGAAGGAAAGTTTTGTTCATGTTATTTTTTGCTCTCTTTAGTCTTACAGCCATAATTCATAATGTACTACTGTTTGGAAAAGTTGCCAATTATTTAACTCACACATTTTAATCACATACTGACAATCAATATATAATGAAGTATTTTGTTAAGAAAATTATTGGTTCGTTTTGACGTTAATATTTGAACACTTTTGAAAATGATCTACAGATAAGTGGATTATTAAATGTGCCTTCACAGAGGTGATGTTGCTCACCATTGTCATGGGTTCCAATCCCAGGGTTAAAATGTCCATTTTGGATAAAACATCTAACATATAAATTAAAACTTACAGCGTGTTATTACAGTCCTGCTTTGCTTTTGAAATAACCAAAACCTTTTTCTCTAAAATTCTGGACCATAGCCTTATTCTCGAAATGTGCATATTTCTTCTTTTCATTTCTCAAATTGAAGTGTTCTTTAAACATAATGTGTTTGCTGTTGTTTAGTTGTCATACATCCTTACAGTAAACTGCTTTTGGACGTCCACTGTTTGTCTGATGTGTTTATATAGCTTTGCCAGGTCAAGGTGAAGACTTTAAACCTCATTTTAATTTTGAATGGACACCTTTATCTTACTATTCAAGTCTTTTTCATCCAAAGGGATGTCACTACACATCTGGGACCTGGGTTTGGACACAGTGATGGGTAAATTTGGGATTTGTAAACAACAGATTGACATCCGAATGCCTTTCACCAAAGTACTTGAGTGACGTCCCTATGAACCAATCAGAACTCAGGGGTTCGAACATCATTCTCAATCACCCAGTTTCTATAGACGCTATGTCAGTAAGAGCTGTGATCGTTATTCCACAGAAATTTGTAATAATTCATTGTCTTTATTCTTCTGTCAATAAAAGAAAGTAAAATACAGTACAGTTCTATCAGCTGCAATTAGTCAAACATTTACAGTTGAAAATACTCATTTACAGCAACACAACAAATGAAGCGAAGCATCAAAATTCATACAGATTGTTCTTTAGAGGTGCTCATAATTACAAAGCTGGAAAATATCTATAAAACTGTCTGAAAAGCTATTCTTTCCAATAAGTTCATCTGTTCCCGAATCTTGTAATATGCATCCCAATGTTCCTGATCTATGTGTTAAGATGAAGAGCGTGTCTCAGTTCACAAGCTGTCTAAAATGACCTAAAACTCACTCTAGATCACTAAATGAGAAAAATGTGAAGACTTCAGTCTTTATCATAAATTATTGAGAACGGTTTCCTGTCAGTAGCATCACCCTTATTTAGCAGGTTAGTTGAACTGTTTTAGAGGAAATGGCTTGATAACTGACGCTGAGACGCTGATGTGTGGTCTATATGGAGGATTTACTGTACATCTGTGCCATCTGCTCACTGAAGAGTCGTCGTAGATCCACACGCTTGCTCTTCAGGGTCGGCGTCAGGAGGCCGTTCGACACGCTAAACATTTCAGGGTGCAAATATAAGTCCTTCACCTGAGAAAGAGAAAGAGAGGGAAAACGGCTCAGACAGAATCTCTCCTCTGATGTTCATGAACAGCTGTATGCAAAAAGCTGGAGTGTTTCATTGATTTTGATGATAAAACCTTTCGGACGTCAAAAAACTACGTCCCTAAAACTATTCCTTAATAGTTGTAATCCGTTTAATTACCGGATAAGGATTAAAGGGAAAGTTCAACCAAAAATGAAAATTCTACTCACCACTAACGTTAGCTGCTACTTGCTTAAAGGAGAACTCCGGTCAATTTTAAAATTGAGCTGATTTTTTTGTACATTTGGAGTGCTGTCAGTACAGACAAAAACGACAAAAATCGGGGTTTCCTACACGACCGTGCTATCCTCTTTTTAAAATTCGCACCCTGTTGTCTTCAATGGGGCAAGTTCTAAACCTGCTTTTAGCCTCTTAACATCCTTGATTTGTCATTACAAGTGCACAGCCATGTGAGTGGTGTTATTAAGAGTGACCACGGTCAATCTGACTGCAATAGATGTGAAAGATATTAATAAAAATGATGTTAATTCAGCCAGCTCACATACCTGTATTTACTTCCTGTTTTCGTTCGAAGTCCACAGTAGGCGATTGTAGAGTTCGCGCGCGCGATCGTTAGTTATATAACTTACCAGTGATAAGTTCGTTCGTTTTTGTACTGACAGCACTCCAAATGTACAAAAAAATGAGCTCAATGTTAAAATTGACCGGAGCCCTCCTTTAATACACAAGAACAAACCTCACTAGCTCAAATGTGCTAACGTTAAACCTATTTTTGTTCTTACACGTCAAAGCAGAAGCTCAGCCATACTTGCCCATGTTTGTGCGTTGATCAACGATTTTATGTATGTTTTCGAATTCATTATTTGTAAAAAAAAAAAAAAAATGTATATGAAGTATGTAATACTGTAAAAAACAAAAAAATAACGTTGAATCTCTGATGACTCAATAAGTGCAGTTCGCCTTATTCTGTCTGATACACAATGATGACGTAATGTTTCATTTTACCACAAACATCATCAGCAAAACTTGAAAAGGCTCAGTGATTTTGAAGATCTTGAAAACTATAGTTGTGAGTATATGTTTGAGATGACGAATATGAGCCAGATGCTGAATGAACTGGGAAATGAGCTCTGACGATGACGATGGTTAAAAACATCTGCTCAAATTGAACCCTTCCAAATTCCAAAAGCTAATGAAATATGCATTTTTTATTATTATTATTCTTTTGTCATTAAAATATCAGGACAGTTTTATACTGTTGCGGCAGTAAGATCATCCATTAGACGCAAATATGTAATAATGATTGACGTCACTTTTGTATATTTTAAGGTTAAATCTAAATTAAATCTGTTCAGCATATAAAGAGATTGTGTCTCTCCAGAAAACGTGGATTAACCTGATCAATTCAAATGGACTCTTATGAACGTTTTGAAGCATTAAAGTTTTGGTGACAGAATTTTCACTTTTACTCAATTTCTACCCAATTAAATATTTTAGAGCTTGGCATAACTAAAACATTTATAAATTATAAACATATTTTTAGCATTTTCTTAATCTACATGACTTTTCCAGGTCTAGAAATCACACTTTCAAAACTAGGCTTCTTCATATATCCAGGTTTAAGGGTTTATTTAAAGGGGGAAAAAAAAGAAAAAAAGTTGCTGGGGGATGAATTAAAATAAGAAATATATTGATTCTTAGTTATGTTAATGCTTGTTTTGTCTTATTTAAATCCTTTTTAAAGTCCCCTTCAAGTTTGCCTAAGAACCACTGGTGTAAAATCATTAAAAAATGGTTTTATTTGATTTTCATTTCTTTCACAAATGACTTCGAGATCCAGCAATAATTGTCAGAGCCCTGTTGAAGACCCCGACTAACATGGAGGTGAACTTGTGTCTTTACTCGCGTCTGAAGCCCTGAACACAACAAATGAACCGGAGGAGGCGGAGCCTCAGAGCCACACCAACCTATTACATCATCACCACAGACTAGCGGTAGTTTGAAGGCGTTTTCCAGCCAGAGTGTAAGTTGTTTCGAATTTCGTTTTGGCCTGATTTTGTTCAAATTGACCTCACACCAGTTGGTTCTTCGATTTGTGTAAATAACCCAGAATGCTCTACCTGCTCGAATGACTTGAGTCCAGCCTCCTTCCCCACTGCCGCCATGTCCTCCAGCACGGCTTTCTTCACATCCTGCCATTCAAACGGGATGAAGAGACCACGTGAGCATGTTCATCAGTTTAAATCTACTGACATCTCATGCTAAGTTGAGAACATGCAGTGTGCACACGTGTTAGGTGTTCTGGCATGTTTAACTCTTTCCCCGCCAGCATTTTTTTTAATCATTTTCACTAAAATCATGGCCACCAGAATATGTTCTTGTATGAATATCTGAACATACAATATTCTACAAGTAAGCACAGAGCCTCTGCTTTAACATTTTATTCTAGATTCATACATACTTTGTCAACACTTAAATGTGAGGTAGCTTTTTGTTTAAAATGTTGCTTTTTTATTAAACTGAGAAAAATGCGGATGGAGTCAAAACACAGATGGAGTCGATCGAGTCCATCTACACCCCTAAAGCTTCACAGTCCTATAACTCATTCTGGGTCGACATTTCATCCAGTAACATTAGGCAGTTTTGATTTTTACGCCGTTTAATGATCGCGATATCTTACATGTGCGTCAGCAATGCTTTAATTGCATATTTCTGATTCTTCTCCGCATGTGTTTTGATCCAGAGATTCAGTTCTCCTTCAGAAGATGTGTAATAGCGCCCCCTACCGTATAACAGTGAAAACATGGATTACCGGAAATTTCCATCAATGGCGGGGAAAGAGTTAATAAAGTTTGGTGACAAATTGGTCCCCAGAAATGAGTTAACTTTGCATGTGTACTGTATATGGCATTAAAGCTCACAGGATTTTGA